TTGCATGATTATACGTCTCCATATAGCTTGACATAGACTAGCAGATGTTTATGGAATATTGCATGATTATACGTCTCCATATAGCTTGACATAGACTAGCAGATGTTTATGGAATATTGCATGATTATACGTCTCCATATAGCTTGATATAGACTACCGGTAGCAGATGTTTATGGAATATTGCATGATTATACGTCTCCATATAGCTTGACATAGACTAGCAGATGTTTATGGAATATTGCATGATTATACATCTCCATATAGCTTGACATAGACTAGCAGATGTTTATGGAATATTGCATGATTATACGTCTCCATATAGCTTGACATAGACTAGCAGATGTTTATGGAATATTGCATGATTATACGTCTCCATATAGCTTGACATACATTATCTCACCTGAATGCCTTGATGCCTTTCAAAATAGTCAAGAATTTCCAGGATGTTCTCTATACTCATTTTTTAAACAGTCAAAGCAAGTGTGTGTTTCTTGCTGAGTAAATATTAAAAGGTGGTAGTCGTTGCGCCGCGTCCTGTTCGATATGGGACCCATAGTAACGTATACAACGCGTGTAAAATACATTGTTTATTTACATGAAATTCGAACACGCACAGCGCTACGACCACTGCGCTTTAATCTCAAAATTACCTGAGTGTATTGCACTCTGTGTCTGCAAGATAACTCATTGAGTGAATAAACTATTCAAGACTCAATTTGGTCTTTCTTTCTTTCACAAAATAATAAGTTTACATAATAAATGTTTTGTCAGAAGAATACATATTAAAGGGCGGTAGTCGTTGCGCCGCGTCCTGTTCGATATGGGACTCATAGCGACGTATACAACGCGTGTAAAATACATTGTTTATTTACATGAAATTCCAACACACCCTGAGCAACGACCAGCACGCTTTAAACTTATTTAACATATGTAGTACTTAATGGTATTGGATGATATGAAATCTTAACATGTATAAATTGTGAAAAAAGGATAGGACATCTTAAGAAGTGGGTGTTAATCAAACAAATCACAGAATTTCTCCACTTCAAATCTTAATAAAGTAAGCAGCTTTAGAATGGCATCAGTTTTGTTTGGGACTTGATGGACTTAAGATGCTGAAAACTTGATCACATACAAATCTACGTAAATACTTGGCTGATTTTTTTAAAACTTTGTGACCTAGATATCTTGTGAATATCATAGTTGTTGTCCACAGCACATACTAAGTCAAATTTTTACAAACAAAATATATCCAAGTAGATGCTTGCTACTGTTTTTTTTTAATCTTGTGATTTTGATTTCTCATCAAATTTTTCTAAAATTTGAGTGCATTATCAACTACTGTATATATCTCAATCAACTTATTGTTGTTATAACAATGTTAGGAATATGTTTATTTCTAGGAGTTGTTTGGTTCTGTGGATCGCCGCCAGATGGGCAGTATTTCTACAGAGTCATTACAAGGTATTTTGTCAACTGCCCTGGATCAGGAAATCAAGGACAGCACATACAAACAAATTTTGTATGATCTTGGAAAGGTGAGAATTGAACAGAATCTCAGTAAAAATGGAAATGTAATCACTTACTCAAAAGTTTACTCAACTTTTTATATATTAATAGTTTTCATATATGATTGGTAAGTTCTCATTCAATGATGATAAATTGCTGGTAATTTCACCATTAATGCTTAGAATATTTATATCAATGGCTTCTGTCTTCCTAAATGAATTAAAAATGATATTCTACTGTTTTCTAGTAGAACAGTGTCAAACATTCAGTCATTCCAAAACAACCTGTATGATCGCTACAATAACACTCTGCAGAAAATTGTGTGCATGGTAGCCTGGCAACGAGGAAACAGGTTCTACAGTTGCTAGGCAGACTTGTACACAATAATTAGCATAACTATTTTTCGTACATGTTTTTCTCTAATAATTTTCTTTCCATTTTCTATTCATATTTCAGGATCAAAATTCCAGTATTGATAAAATGGAATTTTTGGCTGACATACCATATTTCTTGACATACAGAAATTGAGAACACAGATCAGTATCAGGTGATGCCACCCAATGCTAGATCGGGTAGCCAGCCCATTTCAGTGTGATCATCAATTATTCTTTTCAGATAAGTTTACAATACCTACAGTCAGTGATAGTGTTGTCTGTTTTTATGGTCCACTGCTTAATAGGATGCCTCTAAGTTTATACCCAGTGGTTCAGATTTTAGATGCATTTTTTTTAATTGGTGACAAAATGTGAAAAACCCTGTTTTTTAATTTGTTTATTATTTCATAATTGCTGTAACACTGAGCCATAGGGTATTATCTTATGGCACATGGTGTATATTTATGATAATCACATGTTTTAGCTGTTTATTTTGGATGCATGAGCAGTACATCTTGTCTCATGTGTTGGTACCTAGGTTATGTCGACTCAGTTTTTATGTAACAACACACACTAGAATTTTTTACTAGAAATCTCATCATTAGACGTTTTAGATCTGTCTCATTTCCTTTGACCAAAATGTTTATTTTGACATTTTGTTATTTTTGGTGATTTAACAGAAGCAGGACAACCATGACTGGCGTAAAGGGGTAAACAAATTTCCTATTTACTGCACATAAAATGCAGGCCAGATAGAATTGTAGTATGTAGGTTATTGGTAACATATGGCATGATGGGTGTTATAGTGTTAAAACTTTGGGTGAAAAAGCTGTATGGAATTAAAAGAAAACAAACGCAACATTTGGTGTCAATTCTAAGATGGTGGGAGGTCTAACATTTTCCCAATTTAGTAACATTAATGTTATTTGGGTTTTTCTAACATTTTATTCAGTATGTAAAATTTCTTGTTTTTTTATTAACATTTTGGAAGAAAAATTGTTTGTGTGATGTATTATTTAATTAAGAGTTAATGTACATACTACTATTGTTTAACATTTCATTTACAAAGTGCTTTGGGTTTGTAAATATACTTATAAGATGATTGTGATGGCAAATGGCCATTATATAATTTGTTATAGTTTATTTAATGTTTGTGGTTTGGCTTTGTCAAACAAAGTCACCAATGGTCGCTTTTGTCTCACTCATGCAAAAAAATGCCCTCTGTGGTGATTGTTTTGAATTTTTTTGTTTTTATAGTTGCCTGAGGGCAGTATTCATCTTAATGCTTTGATAACACACTCTGCAGTAACTGCCACAAGCTAATTTTTCATCATTTCATTTAATACATGATTATGTGACTGTGTTGCCTTTTGTTACAATAATTGCAAGTGAAACAGTTTACTTTAATGTTTTGTTTGTGATCAATTGATTAATCCTTCAGTTTATATGTCTTCCATGATCGGTGCCCTAATTCATAGAACAAGGA